ATTAGACGTCCGACATTCTTCACCAGTTAGTCCTTAATGTTGTCGGTCTGCCAGTTACGTACTGTGCAGAACAGCTTTCTGGAGTAACATGTGCTGGCTGATAAATCAAAACATGAAGTTTAAATAGGTTAAAAAGTAGAATTCACCTCCACTGGGCCATAATTGGTTTGTCACATCTTGTTTTGAGTGACATCTTTTACACAACACTTCATCATTTAATGCTCTGTTACGCAAAACAGATTGATTAGTGAAGCTTTCAACGCTCAGTGTTGGGAAGCTAAAGGAAAAGAACAGAGAATGTTTCTGACATCATGTTTCTGACATCATGTTTCAGGCATCAGCTTTTATTTACACCAGTAGTGTATCTGCCCATGCCTGCGTGCAAACACGGAGTAAAGGGCTAACAAAAGAGAAATACAATAATAATAAATGCTATGAATAAGAGATAGGGAGAGGGACTAACCTTTACAGTCAACAGGGAGTCGAGTATTGCCGTACAGGACCATGTCCATATGAGACACAGATGGTCAGATAATGGTGCAATGAGCAAAACACTTATGTTAGCCATAAGGCAGAGCCATCTCGTGGCTCTGACCCCACTTGAGCATTTATTGGACATTTGGAGGCCGTTTTACTCAGGATCATTAAACTAGATGATCCTGAATCATTACGTTAGACCTGATGAGGAGTGACCTCGCCCTCAATATGAGCTGCGACAACCAAGATCTGCTGCAGCAAAAGCTCACAGTGCGATGGAAATCTTTTTTGCTGATGTTGTAATGCACCTGAACGCACACGCACACACGCACACGCACACACACACTGGGTGTCAGCACTTCATTTTTTATCCCATTTGAAAAATCACAGATAATTAATCCATAATGTTCGACCAAAGCGCTGGTAAATTATCAGAAGCACAAACACATGAAATGATGGATTAAAAGATGAATACGCATGAATACACAAATGAGGGCTTGAATAAAAATGGTAAACAAATGAGCTGAAGGATGGAGCGGGCCGGGAGGAGCGAGAACAATCAGCCAAACAATCTCTGTGGGCTCCTTTTAGTCGTTTAGCTTTGTTTCCTCCTCCCTCTCTTAATGAGCTCTTTTAGTCTGTCACTCGCTCCCTCATGCTTTGATTGTCGCTTTATTTGGATGGCGGAGCTCATTTCGACTGGATGATCTGATCAATAATTACAACCCAGGCCACACACACACACACACACACACACACACACACACACACACACACACACACACACGCACGAGTCAGTTATGAGAAATACTCTGTTGCTAATGAATACACAGCTTCCAAAGAAACACAAAATTATAAAACACAGACTCCATATTGTTGTTTGTTCTGTTATGACTCAAACATATGGACAATCTTCCTCTCTTTCTCTCTCTCTCTCTCTCTCTCTCTCCTCTCTGCCTATCTCTCTCCCTTTCACACACACACAGACACACCATTTGTCATCTGTCATCCAGTTTGCAGTGGCTTTGTTTTTGGGAGCAAGTTTGGAAATGTCAAGCTTTTTTTTCGAGATTTATTTTGCTCCTTCCGCACGTTGGAGAAATTAACAATCAGCCCATAAGGTTTGACCCACATCATCACTCACCTCTCTCCCACGCACACACAATTTAATCCCTCGTCATGCTTAGCATCTTTTTTTTTTTTTTTTTTAAACACACTGAGACACCCACTTCAAGTGTGTGCATGCGTATCAGTCCATTGAACAGTTTTGTTGGCGTTATGAATATGTCAGACACTCTTGATTAACGCCATTGTTCGTAAACTTTTCACTGCAGTGCTCATACCACACACAAATACACATTCACACAAACACACACTGCAAACAAACAAAGTAGTTGGCATTTCCTAATTTGGAGGGTGATGTTAACTTCTCCACAGAACCTTTGTTTAGTTGATTTGTGGCAATGTGGATGTGCGTGCGTGTGTGTGCGAATGTCTGTTTGTGTGTGTGTGTGTGTGTGTGTGTGTGTGTGTGTGTGCCGCCTGCCTCTCAGGCTCCATGTGAAATAATAATGTGCCCAGATCTTTGGATGGAGTGAACAATACCTAATAGGGCCATGATAATAAGTATTAAAATCACTGGACCTGAAAGAAAACGTGATGAGACTCTTAATTACAAGACAAAAAAAGAGAGAGATGAAGAGAGGGAGGGAGAGAGAGAATGGACACTGGTTCAAGTAGAAATAAAATGAAAGCAACACAAAACTAGAAACTAAAAGAAAAAAGCTTGAGTGTTTTAAAAATATCATGATGAGGGGTTGAAGGTGGTAACGGGGGATAGATGGGTTGCGTGTGTGCGTGTGTGTACACTTTGAAATAGAGGGATTGAGTTAGATGGAGATAGAGAGAGAGAGAGAGAGAGAGAGAGAGAGAGAGAGAGAGAGAGAGAGAACTATTTTGCACTCTAACTCTCCTCTCTCTGGCTGTGTTGTATTGAAAAGATGTGGGGGGGGGCAGGCCGTAATCATCCACACCCTGCTGTGTTTTTTGCACTCTCTGATCTCTCTGCCGCCATGTCTAGTGCAGCATCTACACACACACACACACACACACACACACACTGTCAGTGGAGTGGGCCTCTTTCTCCAGGATCTCATGATTAGGCACCCTGGCAGAGTAATCATCACCTCCTCTTCAACCCTGCTCCTTTTCATTGAACATGGGAATATTTTCCCCCTAGAACAGATGAGCTTGAAATGACACTGAACCCTTTGAACCACTTGATTTTGATGGTTGTTGGTTTGAATGTTACCTAACGATAAACTCTGTCTGTGGCTGCACATACTTTGTGTGTGTATTCTTTGTCTTGCGTGTGAAATTTTCAATTGTTGGTTTATTTTATATTTTAAAAAAAAAAAACCTAGAGCTTCCCTTGAAAGCCAGAGTAGTTTTCAAGCAGGTATAAAATATTAACTATTGCATCTTATGACCATCAAAGCTGACAGTAAATAGACAATATTACGATATGAACCCAATGTTGGCTCATAAACCTTATTCTGATTACCTTAATCTCAAAAAATTCATACTTGGAATAAGGAATAATCAAATTAAAGAGTTAATAAAGTGTATTCCGACCTTAGTTGCATTATGTAGACATGTATACAACTGAATCACAGTATTCACATTTGAGTTTCCACAGCATTTTGGATGCATGTTGACGTGTCGTAATCCGACTTTGCTCTGTAACATGTAAACAGTATTATTTAGGGAATATTCTATTAGCAACTCATGTCAACATCATAATGGGAGTAATGTCTTATTCAGAATGAGGTTAATGCCACAGTATTGTTGTCTATGTAAACGTAGTCAGTTGTCTTTTTGCATGCCATCATATATTTCTGCTAGAGATCATCCTCCCGACGATTTCATCAAGTTCTACCTATTTGTTAAATTTGGTGTCCTTCAGTGTATTTTCATATCTTTTGCCGTATCGTTAATCTGCTCTGTGAAGCGACAAACCTTCACTCTGGAACGATTTCACTTCGTCAGGTTGAAGCAGCTCCACAGCAGCAACAAAACACTCCTTCTTCTGAATGAGTATCCGTAGCTTTTTATCCCTCAGCTCACCCACAACCAAACTTGACTGCATAACATTGTCTCTGTCAGAATGCTTGTAGAGTGAAGGCTGCTCGTTTGGGTTTGCAGAGCTTAAACTTTATCGAGAACATTTGTCCTTGTAACTCATCCAGTTTAGCTGCATGTCTCCAGCTGTAGTAACTCTCGAGATTGTCCTTTTTCATCCGCGTGACCATGACCACTCCAAGTATGCTCACAAGACTTGTCTGATGCCTCATTAAAAAATAATTGTTTGTTCAAAGTTCAGCATTCCACATGTGCTTGCCTTTCTTGACAGTCTCCATGACGCTTGTCAGAAATTACATGGAACAACAATGTCTGTGTTTTGTTCACCCTGACCATTATCTAGACAGGCATAAGGGAGAAGGACATTTTGTCCACTATTAATGAAGCATTTTCACCTTTTAAAGTCTGAACCAAGGTTCTTTTTTTTACAGTGTTTCCATTTAATCAGGTATGATTTGGTTTCACATTTTAATGTAGGGATCACACCGAAGCATTTTCTATGACATATGTACATACAGTTGATATTTCTTACGTGAGCTGTGTCGACCTGTGCCTGACATCGATAGGTTTGCAGACTGGCATTCGTCTGATGTCGGTGTATCCTCAGTTCAGCGAGCTGCAGTCTTACTCTGAGAATGGAGAAAATAAATGAACCAGTTCATATTGTTAATTTCAATACCACTGTAACATAAATATGGCTTTACACAGTAGTCGACACTAGTTCAAGTGAAATGATCGTCATTGTCACTCAAAAATTATACTGTCTGCTGCCAGTCCTACAAGCTCGTTCTGCTTTTTTTCTTCTTCTTCTAATGTTCAGAACTATATCAACTTCCTGCAATTGGTCTGAAAGTCTGAACTATCTAAGTGACCATTAACAACATTTTGGACTGCGGCCCCCTGATTACAGATAAAGTTATCAACCACTTATATGGATCAAAAAGCTTGGGACAGAATCATCAGTCAGTCAATCAGTGTGCTTACAGTGTTTATTTGGGGTATTTTCATGTGTTTGGATGGTAAATGCCATGGAATTGTCTATAGCAATGTTTAATGCATACAGTCGTCATATGCCAATTCATTTGACATGGAACAACACTACTAAGAAATTCACACAGCTGTGTGAAATGAGTCTAAATATTTATTTCTATGTCTCTCCCTCTCTCTCTCTACTATAATTTATGTAATGAAACTAAAGATGTATAAAGGAAAAATAATATTTCTTTTCATTAAGTCAATTTCAAAGGCCAGAAGCAAACCCCCATTCATGATTGTTTTTATTATTAACCTTTATTTAACCATTTAACCGTCGAGATTTAAATTCTCATTTTCAAGAGAGATTATTTACATAATGTTTTATTTTATTGTCCAAACCTTGACAGTGTTCTGCTGCAGAGGGATTACAGTTTCCTGAGGGACATAAACGTCTGGAAACCCTTCGTCACCATCGGGGTTTATTCTTCCACGCTCTCCGCTGCCATGAGCAACCTCATTGGAGCCTCACGCATCCTCTACGCCTTGGCCAGGGACGACTTGTTTGGTGGGTAACACAACTAAAAAGAATTGGCATTTAAAGGAGACATATTTTGCTTTTTAAGTCAAAAAGTTATATATTTTTGTGAATGTACAAGTTTAATTGATTGATTGACGTCATGTGACGAGGCCCCACATTCCTGCATTACAGCTAGTCTGGCACAGCCCCCTAACAAAGCCTCGTGGTCAATGCTGAATCAGCTAATTCAAGAGTCAGGAGCTTGCTAGACGTGATGAAGTGTCTTCTAGCAGCTGAAGCATCAGACTGAGGGGACTAGATCTGAACTGTGTTCACTTATTGACCGACCCCTTGACTTTTGGTGTCTGGTGAATCTCAGCACTCCTGCCAGGCTGTTCAATGAGGCCTGTGACTGCAACTCTGCAAAACCAAGTTATCTGGCTATGGACCATATTTCCACCAAAAATATGAGAAGAAATTACGTTTCAGTAAACGGCAATGAATAATCATCCATTGTGTTTGACCTATACATAACAGTGGAAAGAAATATTAGCCGACTGGCTAACTGGCGAAAAGTGTGTTGAGGGTAAAGCGACATCAATGAAATGAAACACCTTGTTACCTTGAATAGAATTGTGGATTTCTCTGGATTTAAATATTGTCTGAGACATTTTGGATCATGTAAGAACATAAGACCACAGAGTCTATAACATAAGTCTCGTTATTATTACATTGTAGAATTGTCCCACATTACATCTGTAAGGCAGAGTTCATGTTTGCCATCAGTGGCTTTGAAGTGAGATTGTCCTGAAGTGTGTGTGCTCTTTCTTCTGTGAAGTGAACTGTTGAGACTACACTGAGCCCCTGAGGATACCTGTACCGAACAACTTAAGTAAATGATCACTATCACTTTGTCCTGAACGTTTAAACACAAAGATACTGAGTTGTAATGTTAGCCACAGCAGTCAGACAGCAGTGATATCCACCTCACTTTGTGAGTCCGTGCTGCCTGTTCCTTTGTCATTATTAATGATTGTGAGCAACTTCCTTATCCCATCCTCTGCTCCTCTGTTAAGTCTATTGCAAATTGATTTGGCCTGTTTCTGTCTGTGTCTGCAGCCATGTGCGTGTGTCAGGGGAGATGAATGGCTGTATTAGCGGGAGTTCCTCTGTGGAGAGAGCAGAGGCAGATGACTGTAGTTCAGCGGTCTGTTCACCAACAGCCAAAGGGTTAACCCCAATCAGATAAATCTGTAATTAAGAGTCAGTGACTCTGCAACCATAAATGTGTAATGTTCTTGTAGAGGCGTTCAAGTAGTTTGTATGACCACTGTGTGTTTGTGTGTCTGGGTGTGTGTGTGTGTGTGTGTGTGCACGGTGGAAAATGTATGCATCCATCACTCAGTTTGCATAGGACAGAGGCAAGGTTAAGCGGTAAGTAGCATGCATGAATGACAAGAACACACACACACATAAACACATGAGGGTTTTTTTTATCATCCCACATATCTTCTATCGTCTCTGAAACTTGCCTCCACCTCTGTCATGCCTTCTCTGTCCTCTTCATCACTCAGTTCTCTCCTCTCAGTTGCATTGATTGGACTTTAAAGTCCTCCCACCCCCTCCCCCCACCTCCAGCGTCCCTATATTGAGTTTCTCTTCTTGGATTTTCTTTCTTTTTCATATATTTTTGTCTCAATGTTTCGATCTGTCTTTTATTTTTCTAACAGTTACAAAGATGGCTGTTATACAGAGCCACTGCAACATTAACGTCATCTTCATCATGAGATGAAATGTCACATATTTAAAAAAAAAAAAAGAGGTTGGATGTAAATGAACTGACTTTTGGCATAATGTACATCTTGATAAGGTTCCACATAAAGTGAAGGGTCCTCTTAGTTTTTCGTGCTTGCTGTCTCGCCCACACATTCGCTGTTTTCCTCTCTCGCTTTCTCTTTTCAGACGAGACATTTAGTTAATTACATGCATTCTGTTTAAATGTCAGAAATCTTAGAAACTGCCATCCACAGTCTAAATCCAGTCTCTGGCTCTGTAAACTACAACATCATTGTTGCCCAGAGGTCTGTTGTCAGAAACTGGTCTACATCAGCCTCCATAGGAAACAGCCTTTTTATATTAAGTCAACAGATTCAGAAAATTCATAAAGTCATAACTGTCCATCGTTAAATTCAATCATGACTGTCTTTAATTTGAATCAATAAAGGACAACACCGTAGTTGCTTAATTCATGATGAATTTAAAAAAAAGAAGAAAGTTTTAAGCCACACATTCAACTATTAGTTTTCTGAACTCATTTTAACTGGTTGAAAATGTACCTCAAAGTTTTTTATTGACACAGGCTTCTAACTTTAACTTTCCAGCCAAGTGATAATTTGTAAAGCAGTTATTAATCATCATAGAAGTGCTTCAACCGCGACGTTATTTATGGGAAAACTAATTGGGAACCAGTGCCACCCAAAATGGCTCCTCTCACTTTGTAGATCTGCTCTGCTTTAATTTACTCGTAGTTGCCACAGCATTGAGACGGTCAAGAGGTGGTGAAGTTGTCTGTGCAGTTATAAGCAGTCTCTGCAATTAAAGTGTTATTCGGTTCATGTTTTCATTTATATCTTCTTATATGGCACAGCAGTTGAGTTACTGTATCAGTGGGTGTTTGAACCGTAACTGTTAACAAAATGCAAAAGCCTGCTTTTGTTGGGGGGGGCATGTAGTTTCAGGTGGTAAGAGGATGAACTACGACACAGGAAGTCTCATTAGAGATACGGTACCACAGTTGATAAAACTATGAAATACAGCTTTGAAAAGTTATCATGGGGACATTTTTGGTATTTCAAAAAGTATTGGAACTTTATAGATCTTACAAGTGATCTTTTTGAGTATCTCCCATCCTGTTTTGCAAATCTTCTGATGGAACCCCTATGAAGAGGATTTAGTTTTTCTGAGTTATGCTTTGAGGCTGTTTAATCAAATCGTCACATGTTCCTGCACCTTTATGCATCTTGGTGTACAATTTGATCGTGCAGGTGATTTTAAGATTTTGAACTTTTTAGAAAAGCACCTGTATTTGTTTGTTGTTCCCCATTCCAGGATATACCCGTTGAGCACCTTCCTTGATAAACCGGTTGTTAAAACCTGCTCAGCGTTTATAACAGACCCCAGTCCTCATTATCATTAGTAAAACGTATTTATCCTGCTTGAAGTAACCAATAAATCAATGAGTAAATCACTGACAGCATTGATATTTGCTTTTTATTTGATAGGTGTACACATTAATATTCATGGGGGCAGTATATTGTCAAAAATGATTTCAGGAATAGCAGTGAAGAAGAGGTGTCATTAGGAGGAGCTGAATTTAAACTGTGTGTGTGTGTGTGTGTGAACTCTGTATTGACAACAGGTACTATCAACTAGGAATGTCCACCAGATATTTCATTTACTCCATGCCCACATTGTGTTGAAAATTGTGTCATATTTTCCAGTGCTAGAAGCAATGCTCACTGACATTTATTATAGGACGTTGTGGAAGAAATTCTCCAGTTAACCGAAGGTTGGTCATTCATCGCATTCTTTCTTTGATTAAACTTTTCTGTTCTCGTATGTATCCAGAATTTCACTGATGTGGGTTTTGAAGGTCAATGCCGATATTTTTATACAGAGGTTGCACAAGGATATTTTCCAGCTTGTGCTCCGCTCAGCTTTGAAGGATTTGTTGTTTCCATTAACATCTCTTTTCTTTCCGGTAGGTAAGGTTCTGTCTCCAGCCAAGAAGACGTCCCACAGCGGTAACCCCTGGGTCTCGGTGCTCATCTCCTGGTTTTTTGTGCAGGTTAGTGGTGATAAACAAACACAGAATGGTGGATAAAGTCAATAAAGGTATTTAATACAGATGAAAGAACAGGCAGATCCTGCAAAATACCAACATATTAACCAGTTAGGCAAAACAAACCGAGAAGCATTGCAGAAAACTAAAAACAAAAGTTATTTGATCTGATGTGATGAAATTAATAATAGTTTTGATTAAATGTTGTCTGAGGATGAAAGGAGCATTTGGAAAATATGTTTCATCTTTTGGGATTCACTGTCTCAACTCTAACTATCAAAATTTTCATTTTCTCTGAAATGAGCCAACATTCACTATTTTTGTCTATTATATTAAAACAAGTAAATTAAATTATTCCTAATTGTATTCATTCTTTTGTTGTGCAACCAACTGTTCCAAAGATGTAGAGCTTCGAAGGTCAAGATGTCAGATAACTCTAACCTTAGACTTGCTTCAAATATTTGAGTGAAATCGATTAATCTTGGATAAATTCCTGGTGATCTATGGGAACAATGAAGCTCAGTACAGAAGGAAAGAAAAGGAAGCTTCTAACAAAATGCAAGGTTAGCGAGGTAGTGGGACAAAATCAGCCCATTGTTTGGATTGTAAAGTCTTTCCTTGGGCAAGAAGATCAGAGAGGCCTCCTGTGTGACTCCAGAGAATTCCTCCTTCAAACAGATCTGATTCTTTCAGAGGAGAAATGAACTCAGCCTGGGTAGTTTGATGTCTTTGTTTCCTGTGACTACTGTAGGGGGTGGATACCATACCCGAGCCCAGGATCCCTCTTTTCTTCATCAGACTGAATGAGTTAGGTAACAACAGAAGTTCATGTGATGATCGGCAGCTATCTCAGACCAAGAGATCCGCATGAGCAGCCATCACAGATGACAATGGGGCTACTAAAATGCACAATGCTAAAGTTAACACTGGGAAACACAAACTCGGGGCTTCAACGTGCATTAACTGCGTTGGGTTTGAGTCAGGTTCAGGTTAACGCACTCTTGGGCTCGGTTTGTGTTCAGACATATATGCGTCTCTAGCTGCACTCGACCACTCAGTCTGCATCTAAGCTGTCGCACTGTTGTCCATTTATATTGAACAAATAATGAGTGAGCTCGTTCATTGATGATGATCAGCCATTACGTGCACTTATTGGAATGCATTTTTGCCCATTCCAGTAAAGTGCTCCATAATAACTCAGGTCTCCTGGGTTTAATGATGTTCAATGAGTTTCCCTAACCTTTATATAATATTTTTGTTCGCTATCAAAGAGAAGTTACGAAAGAGAAATGTGCTGTTCCCGTTTTTTCATCCAAAGCAGCATTTCTTGAACATAGATTGTTTATTCTGTCGGTGCCACGGTCAACATTTTCTCCCCCATTTTGTTTTACATTTTCTCGACCAATTAAATGTTTAATTACAAATAGCTTTCACAAAATACTTTGATAAAGTGCTTTTAAAACGAGGACAAGGGTTACAATTAGACTGGTCTGTAAAAGAAAAGTTTTTAAATAAGGGCTTAGTTAGTTAGTCGCAATAGTAAGTTTTGAGTGGATCCATCTGATGCCCTGTAAGTGAATAACATAATTTTGAAGTGTAGTCCAGAAGTAATGGGAAGTCAATTTGCTAAAATTGGTTTAATATGTTCTCTTCTAATAGTTCCAGCTAAAAGTCAAGCAGTTGAATTTGGGACAAATTGAAGGCAATTTAGTCAGTAATGAATATAAGAAGCACAATGATCAAGATGGAATAAAAGCTCTAACCCTTCAGATCAGCAGCAGCTGATGACTTTTTCTTGTTTGTCAGAGTTCAGATTTAAGTCAAAATTACTGTCAAATTTCCAGCAAGTAACTTTATTGGTGATAATATTAATCTTAATAATAGGTGGCAGTTACAGTTAGGTGTGCTATGGTCATATATGCACTAAATCCACCTGGCATTGGTTGAAAATATTTCAAAATATAAAGAAATAAAATAAAAGTAGATAACTGTCCTCCATCAATATAACTTTGTATAACTTTAAAACACTGGTACTTGGGAAAAAGATATATAATTTCCCATGTTTTTGAATTCAAGAACAGATATGCATAAATGGGCCGGCTGGACAGTCGTACTCAAACATACTGTCGTAGTATTTTTGTCTCTTCTATTGTGTCTACTAAGTGGAGAAAAGACAACCTCAATATTTTCTCAGGCGAAAATATTAGTCAGAGAGGAGGTGGGTGAGGAAAGAGAGACAAAAGGGAGAAGGAGGATCTTAGGAGCAAACAGGCCTGACTATCCCATCATTATCAGAGGTGAGTGTTAAAGGCTGAATGGCTTGTCATTATTCGCTCTCACTCTTTGTCCCTCGCTCATCCTCTTCTCCTCGTCCCTCACCACTTTCCAAGAGTGGAGGAGGAGCAATTAGATGGAAATCGTTAGCTGTGCCGCCGCTGCCATCAGAGATTATTGACTCTCTTGTCCTCTTTCTCTCTGCCTCTTCCTCTGCCATTTGAATGATTCACTGATGACAAAGTCTGATTGTAATCTCGCCTTGAACACTCGCACTGCAGGATGAAAAGAAAGGAGGAAGAGGAGGGGGAAGGCACAAGCAGAGTCGTTTTTTTTTTTATTGGACTTTTAAGTACAGGGAAAATAGGCAGACTCCAAGAACAAGGAGATGAGAAAAACAAAAAAAGATAAAGAGAAGTTTGAAGTTGATAGGGCTGGATACTGCGGGTGAGGTGAAAGCAATTTTACAGCCCAGCACAAATTAACATGATGGAAAAGATGGGCATGGCATTGGACATATGCAGATCAGCTTTTTTTTTAAGTCCGTAAAAGATTTTCAATCTTGTGATTGCACGAACGAATGCTAATGCCCCAAATATTATCCCTGCAAGCTCTCTGCAAAATTGGGCTGATTGTAGTTTTCTGCACAAAAACCTGTTTTTCAGCCAAAGTCAAGTGATCTCAGTCTCATCAAAGCTTAAATTCTCACGAGGGGGGAGGACCCACTTAACCATATGACATTAAGTGTGGTTTTGCCCTTTTGACCAAGGTTTAATCCAAATTACCTTTCAGAGCTTCTCTATTTTAAGGCTAAGTTTGCATGGCAACATGGTATTCTGGGTTGCTACGGCAAAGTAGCCCATACATGCCTATTGTTACACCTAGTTCACGCTACAGGATTTTCAGATCGATTTGTCAGGCACAGACAAGTTTTCGCGGACAAAAGCCACTGAACGTTGCTTGATTAGCAGTCGTCAATCTCTACTTATGAACTGTTCAAATACTTGATTAGACGAGCTCCTGGATGTGTCACGTAGTTTGCAACAACTCCAGCCAACTTCAGCCAGTGTTTTCGTGGTTTACTTTGGAGACCATTTGTTTTTTTTTGGTTTGTTTCCTAGTGACAGATCATGTAACGTGTGACCGCTGTTGCCACTCAGTTGTGTAGTATGAATTCTCCCCTCAGATCTCTTTAGAGTTGGAGGTGTTGACTGCTTCATGCTCCACCGCAAACTGTCTCTGCTCGCAACATTGCAGTCTGATGATTTTGGAAAAAGAACATGAAACTCTGAAGTGATTTGCAGAAAAACTGTTGATGTAGCTCTGAGCCAAGAAATCTAGTCTTTACATGGTGTGAGTAAAAATCCATGGAGGAGACTACTATTGTGCATTGTTTGATTTATTGGATTTATTTTAGGTCTCTTACTGCAAAGAGTGCGGATTAAAAAACTTGTTCCACTTACCACAATGTCACAAATGATTGAAGGAAAACTCTCCCACAATGCTTCCAAAAGAACGAGCTACTTTTGGGCTATGAGCCGTGGCATGCCAACAGTAAGAGGTGGTGGAGCTAACTCATCACAACACAAACACTCTAGCAATCACTGTCCGGTTCTCACTGGTAACCTTCAAGTTTTTTCTGGAAAAGCATCGACTTTATAGCCCAAGGAGTCACTCAGCTGCTTCCTCTCAATTTTTTTTTATTTGATAAAAGTGTCTTTGTGAGCCCACTCATTTCAGAGAAATGTATGCACACTTCTTTCCAGTAAAAAGTCTTTCAAATCACCACACAAAAACCCAGGAGAGATTTGTACCCCTTCACACACACACACACACACACACACACACACACACACACACACACACACACGTACGCACCTACGTGGACGTCTCTCACACACATACACAGACACACACTTTGTGCACTATGACAGCAGTTGTCCATGCTGGCCTGTGTCTGAGTTAATGGCTAATTAATGCTCTGGTAGAGCCGGCTCCCAGGGGAGCGCTGGAGAGACACCCACTGACTTTCACTGCCAGAGGTCAGAGATGCTCTCTTGTGCACATTCTTTTTTTACACTCATCTTTTCCTCTCTTTTCTTTCCATCTCATCTTTTCCACTCGTCTTCCTCGCACTCCACCCTTCTCCAATCCTCATTGCTCCCCCTGGTTTGTCTCATGCAATTTTCTCTCCCGCTTTGAACGCCTGTCAGTAATGTGACATTGTTAATCTCAATTCCCCATCATTACCTTCTCTCCCCTTCAGTTTACTTGTGCTTCATGGTCACTAATTCAGTGATCTACAGAGTTGATGTTTTTCAACCCTCCATTAAGACAAATGATGTGCCCTTGATTCCAAGAAAATATGTTCCGACTACAGTAGATTTTCTCAGCAGCCAATCAGGAAACATATGATAATTGGAGAGAGAGTTTATACTCTGTGTTTCTCCCCAGGTACAGTGGAGTAGTTACTCCTTTGTTCTGCCCAATCAGTCCTGACAGCTCGCATGCAGATAAAGAAAGTACCTTTAAAGATAACGATGAAGAAATAACCACAAAAAATTTTTTTCATTCAATACAGAAGAGCTAATGATGGCTGCTGCCAACTTTATGTGTACGCACTTTTTTGTTCCTCCACCAAAGTAGGAAGGTGTATCTTAAAAGTGTTCACAACATCGCACAATTCAAGACAAGGGCTGTTGGGGACGGATGCAATTTACACACTGCATGAAGAGTGATTCATGATGGGTGCAGCTGGTGGATAAAACAAACGTCTGCATGTTCCAGGATTACAGTGTATTTGCTGTAAATGAGGGACTTCAGCTGTTGTGTGGCATTCATGTTTGTTTACTTTCCGGTTATATCATTTCGTTTCAAGTCAGAAAAAGAAGAGAATCCTAGTTATAATATTTGCTTGAATGTCATTGACACGCCCACGTGCTTGCTGTGAATTTCCTTAATAAAGTCCAGCTGTATTCCCACATGAGCTCAACTGGACATTTTACAAGGGTCACTAACCCAAACCTCCAGAAAATGTAAGGAGCAGCTGACTCAGACATTTGCATTTCTCGAATGCTGCGCCTCCGAACTTTAGAAAAATCTCCAGACTTCAGTGCACGTCTGAAAAAAGCTACAGTGATAAACCCAGGAGGATGCCACTTGACTTTGCAGCTTTGCGCATCTCTGCTGAATGTTTTTAGCTTTCTTTTGTTTTTGTTGTCTGATCAGCTACTTTACACTTTAGGTTTACTCTCAAAGCTCTCATCACCCTCTCTTCCCGGCACAGCAGGCAGCTGTTTTCAAAAAAAAATACCTGATAAACCAACTGTTCACCACCTGCTCGCAACCAAATTAATTAATAAAATGAAAATGCTGTTCGTCCACATTGTCTTTACAAAGAAAAACAATGTCGCTTTAAAATAAAAACAAATCTGTTATGTGAACACATACATTTGCAACGTCAGCGTCATAAATGTGATTATTCTTGTTCTTTTCCCAAGATGCACTGCAGCTGAGGTGATGAAAGCTTTCTGGCTGTCACGTCTGCAGTAGAGTTACTCACATCCATGTTCGCACATTGTGCAGTCAGGGAACATGGCATGGGGCAGCATTTATAATGGGGTCAAGCTTCACTTTCTCTCTAATAAAAGTCTCCTAGTACTCCTCAGTTAGAGAGCGAGGGTGAATGTGGAACACTAATATGCTGTCAGGATTGTTAGATGTACGACCCTCCTCATCTGGCCCCGCAAATTCTAAAAGTAACTGGACTGAGCTGTGTCTTCGCACGGCTGCCGTCGCTAACGTAGCTGGCTGAGCTGCCTGTGTGCAGCTGAACAGCAGCATAGATAGCATCTTAATTACAACTGAAAATTTGCCTCAATCAGCGCTCCCAAACCTGGAGCCAGGAGGGCCCCTGTGGTCCTTCGAGGGTCGCTGTGGATTTTATGTGTATCTCTCTATAGATGTTGGTTTACTCCATCCTTGATGTCACCCCCCAGCTACAGTGCAGACAGATAAGAATATCTCACAGCACAAATCTTTATGGGATTTCCAGGGACCAAAGTGGACTAAAGCTCTGCTATCTGGGGATCCTTGACTTTAAAAGATTATAGTACCACTGGTCCTGATAACAACTCATTCAAAGCAATTAAAGAATTGTATATATTGAAATACTTTTGAGGTCATTTCTTTTTACAAATATTATCAGCAACACCAGGTTTCTACCATCTACTCTTACTCTGGTTTGCTATCTTGTAGAGCGGCCATGGGTTGGGAGTTATATTGGTCAGTCGCTAGGGGCTTTCGTCTTTTGCTTTTTCTAATCTGTATTCTTATATGTAAAGTATTTTTAATCTAGTATGCAAAGTGATACAGGATGTCTTTTGTTCCTCACACCTTAAATTAGAAACACCGTATGAAAACTCACATTAGGCATCTTGGTCACAGCGTGGAGAATAATTTGGCTTAGAGCCAATCATGGTGACATTTACAGTTGTGCTGAGAAAAGCTTGGAACCCGTGCACTGCACATGCACTGCGAATTGACTTTTAAATTACGCATCAGATATATTTAAGAATATTTTAGAATGAAAAGTATTTTCATATTCATAAATAGATTCATTATGGATTTTGTTAGTGAGCAAGAAAGGGTAGATAAAAAAAAATAATGCACTGGCGCTTATGAATAAGAGTTTTGATAACCTAAAACAAAGATGAACATGCAAATCACGTTGTTCAGTTCATCTTTTAGAGGGTTTTGGCTGTGAAAAGTAATTTGCTGGGAAAGGTCATAAAAAAGGCATCAAAACGCTCCGTTCTCTCCAACTTTGGAATGATTTTATGCTGTTCTTCTTTTTCCTTTCTCTCCCTCTTCCTTTGTTTTGCTCTCTCTCTCTCTAGCTGGTGCTGTTTTCAGGGAAGCTCAACACCATCGCCAGCATTGTGACCATTTTCTTCCTGCTGGTGTATGCTGCTGTGGACCTGGCCTGCCTCGCCCTGGAGTGGGCCTCGGCACCTAATTTCAGGTATCCTCGCCGTTTACTCAACACACACACACACACACACACACACACACCCACACACACACACACACACACACAGGCTTCACTTGTCATGATAAAGGCCTGTGGGTGACACGCTGCCATGTATTGTGCTGTATTTTCTAGCTCTTTCTCACTAAACACACTCCTCCACTTCTCTTTTTTCTACATCTGCCATTGTTTATGTATGTGTGTATGGAGGTGGTCGTTTGCCAGCTGGATGCTGCTATGGCGACAGTGTACTAATTAAAAGACATAAAACTGGCCACTCCTTATAGCCTCCATATTGGAGAGGGACCGATAGTAAAACTGTGTGTGTGTGTGTGAGAGATTTCCACCTACGTATGTGTGCATATGTGTGTGTGTGTATTTTGTATTCCTAGGACACTTGCAATGATCCTGATTTATAAAGCTCCCTGAAGCCATTCTTACACAACAGTAGCATAACATGAAGATGTAGTTATAGTGTGTGTGTGTGTGTGTGTGTGTGTGTGTGTGTGTGTGTGTGTGTGTGTGTGTGTGTGTGTGTGCGTGCGCGTGTGCGTGCGTGCATGCGTGTGTAGCTGAACGACCAGATCTTGGTATTCAATTCACTGCTTTTATGAGATATTCCATATTTTAAGCCTGAAATGTTGATGTCGCTGAGAAAGTATGTTGTCTTCCAAATCTTAAATTTCTAAAAGTATATTTCCAAACCCAATAACCTGCATCGTTTTTCCAAAGACATCCCTTCCTTGATTGAATTCCTCCACTGGCTGTGAAATACATTTCGAACGTGATAACTGCTACTGTTTTTTATTTGTTACGGAGGAGAGAAACTGTTTAAACAGCATGCATCACTTTATCGTTACGACAGATCGCCTCCAGCGCTGCATTTGGTGTTATATATTCCTCTGCAGTGACGGTCGGGAATGAGTTGAAAAGCGTGTGAGAACATTTGCAGCGCTTCACATCAAGGACGCATTAGTGAAGTTGGCAACAAACAGTGTGAACACATTGTACACCTGCAAAACAAAGAGATTGAGAATTGTTGTCTTCAACAAGTTATTTTTGAAATGTTGAGCATGATGGGATGTGTTGGACTTCTTCTAAACATTTGGTCAAATGAGAAGTAGATTAAAGTGACTTGTCTTCCTCTAATAGAGCAGTATGGGGATTGCACACCTCACTCAGCGCACTGACATGGAGATTGAAAACCGACTCGACAAGAGCTGCTTCCTTTACTTTGACATTGAGTGTGAGCTTTTAAACTTAACAGAGCTACTCACAGAGACTCAGAGATTACTTTGGTCCCAATGCTCTTGTCTCATATCAGGGCAGGTCATCAATAGAGCAATAAAAGAAAGTGGTCATATAACATGGTTTAAAGGTCCGGCGTGTAAGATTTAGGTGAAAGGGATCTATTGGCAGAAACTCAACCATAAAATAACCATAATGATACTTTCACGAGTGTGTTTCATATAAATTGTCGGAATTGTTGTTTTCTTTACACAAAAATTAACCCTTTATATTTAAATACGTAATATTTACATCGGGAGCAGGTCCTCTTTACGAACTTTGGAGGGGGGGGGGTATTGAGCTGCAACATGCAACTTCACCACTAGATGTCACTAAATTCTACACACTGAACCTTGCCAAATGTCTCATTTGTCTGTGGCTCAGAACTCCTCCGCCTCGCCGTCGCTTACAAAACTGCTCTGTAACTGCACAGTAAAAGTATTTGACAAATGCACTTATGAATATTAAAACACTCAAATCAGGCAGAACAATAAATCCATGATGCACAGAGGTAACTTCATTTTGTTTCCCTAACCAACTTATTTTATACCATTCTGGGTTTTCTCAAAAAAGTGCAATGTATTTATGGCTTTCGATATATATATATATTATTGCTCGGGCCCGCTCAGTGCTGCTTCACAGCCCTAGTTTATTTTGAATCCCAAGGAAATGCCCATGGACTATTTTTGTGTTCCTTGAAAAGACTGATTAAGGATTAGCCACTGCAGTCTTGTAGCTAAGATTGGGTTTACACTGATGAGCCACAACATAAAAACCGTTGTGTCATTGTATGGAAAGGAGCTCAAAGAGGGAGGAATCTTTGTCAAAGCCTCGAAACATAAGCTTCATCTTGGGTATATTTTTACCTGTGGGAAATAATAACTGCTTTTCGCCTGCACCTGCCCACAGTGTAATTTCTACCCCAAGTCTCTCTCATTTTTCCCTTGTGCATTTTTGAGAGCCTAATGTACCCATCACCTGGAAGAAAAGAAAATTATTAAAGAAGTTCAGATTACATTTTGCCCTCCTGATGCTGTTTCTGATCCCCTGTCGATATATCAATGTGACACCAGTACAATTAAGAAAAATAGCAACTTGTATAATACATTTTATCAGCTGTATGCTACGTACCCTGTGTGGAAGTGATGATTGCATGACAGGATTACTTTCCTGTGATGGTTCTTGCTGTATGACATTGCGTGTGTTGATATCGGCAACACTAGTGTGGGGTTGGGTGATGTCGATTTAATTGGCATATGTATGCAGTGAAAAATCATGATGGACGATGGGGAGAGTTTTAATGAGTGGCAAAGATAAAAAAATAATATACTTTAAAGACGTCATATCGGATCGGTACGTAGATTTGTATACTTGCCAAAGCATCTTGTATCAGAGGAATTTCTGATACTGGTATCAGAACATTTAAAAAATAAAAGTGATAGTTTGTTGGAAAATTAAATGTTGTTCAAGCTTTTTCTGCCATTTCAAAGTTTGGAAAATTGTAAATTCTTTGCTACATTTTAATTACATATTGAAATGCATCAGTTTCACCCACCACAAGGGTGCAGTGTCAGCACCAGTGTTCAGTGTGTACTTCTGTTAAGAATTAGTTGATGAATAGAGAGTGTGTGTGAGTAAATAACTTTCTCTATAGCTCACTCAGAGTTCCCAGTGTTTCCTCGGGTGCCCTCCATGTATACTGCTGTGTGCTATCTGCTCATGCCTCGTTATCGCTGTATGACCGCTGGCAAAGGCTACAGGACACAAAGTTAGCTGCTAAACTTTTCCTGCTGTCGAGCTCTAGTCTCCCTGTCGGCCAGGGGACCAAGGGCTCACAGAGCTGATAAGGTGGCTCGTTGTCTGGCCAGCCGCCTGCTTTGGGCCTCCTCCCTCATCCCCTGAGTTGTTAATTCTGTTAGTTCGTTGTTGCTGTGTCGCCAGGCAAATTTTAACACCAGTTGTTTGTGTGTTTATTTGTTTATTTATTTCTTTTATTTTTTGCTTCGCTCTCTGTCTGGCTCTCTCCCACGTCTCTTTCCAGGCGAAAAGAATTAAAAGCCATTTAGCGCCGTCTCTCCCCCTGAGAACCGCTCTGTAATTAGCATAACTAATTTAGCAGAAATATTTCTCTTTCCCTTAAATTTGCTGTTGTGCATAGAGGGGAGGGATTGAAATTATGATGTAGCGGAAAAGATGTCTGCTTGTTAAGAGCGTGTGGACGTGTGTGTGTTTGCACAGGGGATCTGCAACAGGAAAGTGCAATGCAATTTACAGACAATTTGCAATTTGTGTCCCTGAGATTTAAGTCAAGCTAGTTTGTTTTTTCCTGACCACTGATGTGTGAGTTCATCTGCTTCTTTGACAATCTGTGTATGTTTGTTTTATTCCTTCACTTGTGTATGTTTTGTGTTGGCTGTAGCTTTATCAGACTCCAGCTGTGTGCACAGTTCCTCAGGGGGTGCTGTGTGTCCTGCTGCTGATGCTGTACGTGCACCGACCCCAAACATACATGCACATAGTACCGCCGGGTCACAGTTCAAGAATCGGGACACAACTGAGTCCTCCACAGTGAAGCAGAAGGATTTTTGTGTGGAACTCGGTCACATTTAGGCGATGACCTTTAATTAGACTATGAAAGCAACAACAACTGGCGGTTGAACAGACAAACACGCAGTTTTGCTCTTTTCTTCTTTAACCATCTCGGTGCCACCTTATTAATCCAAATTACAGCAGCAGTCTCTGCAGCCACCATGATTTTCTTTGTAATAATCTGTGAATTGACTGGCTGGATCCTTACCCTACAAAAACAAAATGTTTCTCTTCTGCTCAACCCGGTTATTTGTCCAAATATGAGTCAGACCGATTTGACTAGACTGTGTTATTAAATGAGATTGGGGTATAAAAATCCAGATGGATCATCAACTGTCTGGATGAATGAGAGAAAACAACAATCATTATCTGTTAACGGAATGGTGTGACTTGCTGCTGGCTGAGGATAAAGGAGCTTGCCTCAGTTCAGACCAGACATTCAGAGCTTTGGTTATTTGGTTTTTGATTAGGTGTTTGTCTGGATCATCCTCCATGACGTTGTCCAGTGTCTACTTGATCTTCAATTGATTCTTCACTTCAGTAATCAAGCGATGAACATTAATACTGCATAGCTAATATATCTACAGTTAGATTCAAGCCATAGAAAGTTTTTTGACGCAACACATTTTCATTAGTCCCTGTTCCCTGTCACATTTGAATGAAGTATATGAAACTGTTTTTGTAAAATACAGTGGACCATCTTAACCTCTGACCACACCCACTGGTGATGTCACTGACTCCTGGAGTACACCTGTCCTTCAGGACAACAATGTGAGAACCACTGGAGGTCACCAAAATCATTTTCACGCAGGTGTCAATTATTTTTTCAGAAGGAAGGGAAACGTAAAGGTCACATTCCTGAACTCTAAAAGGACAATCTTTGCTTCATCAGCCCTTTGGTAATCCCCCTTTTTTAAAACCAAATCACCGGAGAACTCTTTCACAGAGTTGCCTCTCACAGTCTATTAGTTAAGCTTGCCCTTTATCAGTGATTAGTTTAACTTTTTTTCTTGCAAATGGTGTGAGGTGAAAAAGAATAATACTTCGCCAAAGCCACCACAGTCCCTTGGGGAGGTAGAAAATAGAAAATATCTGAATAACCCTAAACCTCAGGATGA